TCATTGGGGTGGCCTGCAGGGGGCGCTTATCTGTGAAAAAATTCACAGCAAGTAATCTGGTCCAGAACACCCCCCTCAGCATTGACACACATGTGGAACGGAGCTTTGGGTCAAGAGCCAACTTTTGGTCCATCCTGTAAAGACGTTTTTGAGAGGTCTGCTAATGCTATATGTTAGCATTGGCTAATTCTTCTTCTGGGTCCACCCCCACAGGCCCGGGGTGGTACTGCAGCATGTCAGCGCACGTCATTTTGGCCACTTTTGAGCCGAGACCCGCCCTCACTGGTTCAAACACTAATTAATGGTTTATCATGAAGCAGTAAAATCCAAGAACTCACACCATCAATATCAGGGGTCTCCAACATATGGTTTGGGAGCCACCAGTAGCTCCCCACCCCCTACAAGGTAGCTCCCCAAAGGACTCAGGAATTTAACACATGATGCCATTTCCATTTTAATTTCATACTGCTATAAATGTTTGGAAACTTGGTAAAAATGCAAGAATAAACTGTTTAAATCTATGTTTCTTGGTTGTCTGCTACATTTTCATTATGACCACACAAGGGCCATAATTCTGTCTTGTAAAAGTAGCTCTCCGGAGGAAAAAGGTTGGAGACCACTAATCTATATGTACAGTAGATGAATATGTATAAGATATAGATTTTAATTGTGTATTTAACTAACCCAGAGAAGGATCCGTGCCTCCGCCGTGTGTCCGTTACCCACAACACCCCAGTCCTTTCCCAGGTGTGCCTTTTTCTCTAAAAACACCTCCCAATTATCGCCCGAGGTGTCGCCCTAACAACCAAAACTACACTCCCAGCTGCAGAAACAAACCCACAAGGCCAAAGTCAAACGGAGACCAGTAATTGGAAGCAGCTGATCCACCACCAGGCTCACCACACACCCTCCCCAGACGCTTCCCTCTCTGAGCTGCAGGAGCGCGATGGGCCTTCCCCGGAGCAGCAGCGTGAAGTGCCTGACCCTGATTAAAGAACTAATTGGATTGCGAAGGGACATTCATTCATTCAGATAAAGGTCGGGACGTTCTATTCATGCCGTGGCTTCTGTGGGATTTCAGAAACACGGAGCTGAGTTTGGGAGAAGAAGAGTTGGTTTGAAACGGCTCTGGAGGCCGGTGATGTCACAGGATTCAGTTTAGAGTCTGTTTGGAGGATTGTCGTCGTCCACTTTATTCAGGTATAAAGAAAAGGAGGGGCTTTAGTTTGGTGCGACCCACACACGGCGTTAAAGGAGCAGTTTGTAAAAATCTGGCCAAAAGTGGAATCCAGCTGGGACCACATTAGCTGAATAGACAAGATGCATCTGTGCAATAATTTTAATAACGTCAGAATGTGCAATATAGAACCACATGTGTCACTGGCACTTTGCTGAGTCGACAAAGTAACCCCATTGCTGCTAGCCTGGTCGTACCACACCATAGTACAAATTACATTTCATACTAAGGTCTGGATTTGCCCCATTGAGCTCCGTTTACAGGTGGGAGGGGTTAAGTCCTTTTGCAGATTGAAACGATTGGATCTGAATTTACCGTGACGTATGAAATGAGCCAGAGTGAGTCGTTAGCATTTAGCATTTAGCCTAGCTTTAGCCATTTCATTTGCCGCTAACGGAGCCCGTGGGGAGTAGCGCCACAATTTTTTCCAGCGATTACATTTGCTAAACATTCCTCTTGCTCCGGCTTCAATTTCTTGATAGAACCAGACCGGATTACTTTACTATCACGTTCTTCGCCAAACTACAACCTGCCCGTTCAGCGCAAACTCTTTTGACGTCACCCACAACTAACTACAACACCCGCCTCCCGCGCTCTCTGATTGGTCGGATGAAATTCAGACAATTGTAATCACAAACACAGGGACCAGACTCAGACGTTACATGCAGTGAAATGATGATTGAGCGGAGAGTACGGATGGATATGGTCTGGCTACATTGCTGCTAACATTCATTTTCTCTCTTTTGTTTTAGTATAGAGTTATTGTTTAATCATCTTGTGACGTGTGCTCCTCATTCCTACTGTTCTGCAACACTGTCATTTCACTGTGGGACGAATAAATTATCTCTTAATCTTAAAGTAGCGATATGTAAGATCTTCATGTCATGTCATCATTAAAAGGCCCATAATCTGTCAAAAATAATGCATTATATAAACTGCTCTTTTCCAATACTTCTTTACCTGATAACAGTAGTTCAGAGATATTTGAATTTCTAAATTACTTTTCCAGTCCCTAAATCTTGTTATTATTTTCATTTTGATGTCCCGCCCTCTACCGTTTCATCAATCAGAAATGTGAATACAGCAGCTGACCTAGACTGGTCCAAAATATTCTTCCCTCAGCATTGACAGCATCTGGAACATAACGTTGGACCTAGACCAAGACAGGTTTTGACAGGATAGAAAGGCGCCGCAAGAATGCACAGGATAATTCTGTTTCCGGGTACACCCCCACCAGCAAGGAGTCAGATTACAGCCTGTCAGCGCGCATGCCCATGGAGGGACCCTTTTGAGCCGGGACCCGCCCACACTGCCACCAACCCGAGTACCATCTTGCCACCACCGGCCAGTGCCCCCCCCCCTTCCACAGCGTTTGGATCCAACACGACAGAGTGACGTGAACAAGACCCGCACCGGCCCGTGTATTTGGAATTCCTCAACATTTACTCTAATTACGGCCATAAATGGAACCTTAACAACGACATCAATCACGTCCATTGTGGAAAATAACATAATGACAATAATTACAATAATATCTCATTAAGACGAGAGAATGAGAGACGGGGGAGAATTAATAGCAGACAGGTGTACAACACGACGCAATTATGGAAGCCCAAATTAGTTCATCGCCTCGAGGCAAACACAGGAGGCTGCGAGAGGCTGAGGTGGGAGAGGGGGGGGGGAGAGGGAGGGAGGGAGGGAGGGGGGGTGAGGGGGGGGAGACTGCACTACTGTTGGAAATACTGAACACACACACATTGTACAACTTTACAGAGGTTTTTACCGGTTATTGCTCCTTTTTCAGAATGAGTCGTTCAAGACCCAGTGCCGCAGCTTTTAGAGTGAGTTCAGTGCTTCTGTATAAAACCGTAGTAAGTTGGTAATATTTATTTATGTAGCGCATTTCAAAGAGCAAGAACAAACAAAGAAGGAGAACTGATATGTGTTTTTTTTTTTATTCAGTCTTGATGATAAAAGCGAGACACCGGACACACAGGCTCATCCAAGCTCTCTCACTACATTCATTCCTGTTGTGTAAATGTTTATTAGGGGTGGGGAAAACCGGAGCACCTACAGGAAACATACGCAGACACAGGGAGAACATGCAAAGTCCACACAGAAAGGCCTGGAGGTAGAGTTGAACCACTGCGCCTCTCACTGCGATTTCAGTATCGTGGGGTCTTGTTAAGGAAGGCGGGAAGGATGCAGTGATGCGGTTGCTGTATCGGACCGTTGTGGTGAAGAGGGAGCAGCGTCTACAGTCAAAGCTCTCGAAAAAAAAATGCATTGGCAAAACTTAATAAAATTGAGGCAACATTTTGCATGCATCTTTTTAAGTTTTGCGAACAAGACTGTGTTTTAAGTATTCTTTTTAAGTCTTTTATCATTGGTCCAGGACAATTTTTCCAATTCCACAAACTTGGATAATTGAGTTATAAAGACACTTTAAGTATAATCACCAAGTGTTTTAGCATCAGTTCAACTCAATTTTAACAATACCACCAACTTAAATAATTACATTGAAAATAAATCTTTTTGAGTATATTCAACGAGTGATGGAATACGTAATCTTTATTCAAATACCATCTTTCACAGATTAGATTCATAAAGCGGTTTAAAATTGTTAATTTTAGGCAGTACTCTCTCACTCCGAACATATATATGGGAGTAGGCCAAGACAGTCACCGGTAAACATGACCATTTTAAAATATTCGTTCAATATTGAAGGACGACACAGGTATAGGGCTGCTTTGGCTTGGCCCTCTCGATCATGGTTGATAAAAATAAATACAATTACTTATTTGGTCAAATTAGTTTATTCAGAATGTTGCTCAAGTATTTTGCTTTAGGACTTGCTTCATATTCAGTTTTAAAATTAATGCTCAAATGTAGAATTTTTAAGAAATTTATATTTTTCGCTGCAATGCATTCTGGGTAGCGTCACTGCTTCGCCACATTTTGTTTTGAATCAACACAATATATTTATTTTGAATCAACTCAATATATTTGTTTTGTCATTATTGGACCCCCAGGCTTACAAGAGGATTTTCATGTTGTGGGAAACTCAATACTTCTCCATTGTCCAGTTCTGCCAGAATATCAAGTTAAAATTTGTTACAAAAATGAGTTAGGATTCTTGTATTAACTTTTAATTGAGGCCGACATGTTTAAAATGAATTGCGACCACACTAATTTAAGTAAAACTGGCAAAAATCAATTATTGAGTTTAGTTCAGTATGTATTTTGAGTTAAAAATACTAACCACCTGAATCATTTCTTTGAGTGTACATCCTGACCTATAGTTATGAACTTTAACGACTGAAAGAACGAGATCGTGGATGCATAAGGTCGAAATTGTTTTTTGGGCGTTGAGTTGGCTGAGATAGGGAGAGGAGCTCGGTCACATGGGAGGAGCTCGGGGTAGAGCCGCTGCTTCTCCATGTCAAAGGGAGCCAGTCGAGTTGGTTTCAGAATGATTGGAAGTTTCATACCGTTTGACCGCTTTGATTCTTTCTCACATAAAAACTAAAACCATCTCAGTATGATACGATGTGAGTCTTTCTGATCGAAATAAAATGTGTTTTTTTATATTCCAATAATAAATCATCCAGACTCATTAAAAAGTGAATAAATTAAGTGAAAGTAGTGAATTTGAACTCTTTTTACCAATGTTTTTGACTGTGATGGCGACTGAAGAACTGGGAGAGTCGGAGCGCTTTGCCACAAAACAGAATTTCAAATAAGCAAACAAAAAAATCCTTGAATGTGTAAATTAGGAGCTGAAGTAAAAAGGCAAAGCTGCTTTTCCCCCAGAGCCGAGCGCGGAGATGAGAGCGGCACATCCAGGCGTGATCAAGGGCGCCGCGGTGCGCTGAGGCAGCTGCGGCAGCCGTCAGCACTGGCAGCCGCTCCTCCGCAGTCAATCATCCAGTACCCATCAGCCCGGCAACGCTCTGGCCCCGCCCCACGCCGCTCTGGCCCAACGCCGCTCTGGCCCAACGCCGCTCTGGCCCAACGCCGCTCTGGCCCAACGCCGCTCTGGCCTAAAGTACCTGGGGAAGGGAAGTCCTAATCCCCGTAGTTAGGTGGAGTCAACAGCCGACCCGACCTGCCACAGCCGCCCTAATAAAGCCTTTTGGATACAAGATTGGACAGTGCTTTCATCCTCTGAGCAGGCACCAGAGAGGGGGGGGGGTTCACAAACTACTGGAGATATTATTTTTCTTAAGTATTCGGCCTCCCAGCATTTGTTTAGTTTTAATAATAATAATGATAATTTTATGAATTATGCAGATAGTGCTTCATGTGCGATTCCTCAGTCCCCACACACACTGGTGATAAACTACTGCTTTAGCCAGAGCTGCCCTGGGACAGACTGATGAATACTGATGCCATGATCTGCAGCTCTCACACCAGAAACACCACAATCAGCCGCAATGTTCTCAGCAGAGAGAGGAGAGGGCCAGGCTCTTCCTCTGTGGCCGGTGCAGATCTGGCAACTGCTCGTACCAAGTGGAGACTGATGGACTCTCTATTCGGCTAAAACATATTTTTCTAACTGGTGGTTTTTCTTACTTAGCCTTCGTAGCATCTGCCACTAACACAGCCGACAGTCGCAGTCTTCACTTCCCCGACTTTCAGAGAAACAATGCAGTGAGATATACGGTCGTTCGAGGCTCACTCCAAACTAAACTAAACTAAACTAAACTGTATCAATGTGTTACATTTTTATCAATGACACAAAAAAGTCCAGAAATGTCCGCGGCCGTTACTGCTGAATGTTGACAGACTCACTCTTGTTTTGTCTCCAGCTGTTTGTCCAGTAGAGGGCGCTCTGCTGAAACACGTCGTTCACGCCCGAATTATTAACCACGCTCTAAGACGCCGTTTTGGACGTAACAAAAGTGGACACAATTGTTACGTCCAAAACGCCCAGTTTGTCCGAAGTTATTGAAAAACATAACTTTTTGCAAAATGTAAAATCTATAATTCATATTGATTATAGTTATATCTCCAACCATTAACCATGAAATAGTCTTCTCTGTCCTGTTCATTCGTTCACAAAACCTCCAACTACAAATATGTCCCAAAGTTCAATAATTTTTTTTAAAGGCATCCATTTCTCTTATAATAGTTGTAGCTGCCCTTCTGAGATTATCCTGTGTACATCTATAGGCTACATAGTTTTAAAATAATGTTTAGGTACAAACATTTTTAGTTCATACATTTATTTTATTGTCGCTTGAAGTTAGATCGAGCAGTTTAGTGCGGAGAGAGAAACCCAACAATTGTGGAAGAATAGATAAAATGACTTTATTTGAGTGGGACAGAGTTGGGCTGAAGTCACTGGAGAACCTTCTGTGGGGGGTGCAGCCCACGAGTCCGGGCCGAGACCACAGGTGCAGCCCACGAGTCCGGGCCGAGACCACAGGTGCAGCCCACGAGTCCGGGCCGAGACCACAGGTGCAGCCCACGAGTCCGGGCCGAGACCACAGGTGCAGCCCACGAGTCCGGGCCGAGACCACAGGTGCAGCCCACGAGTCCGGGCCGAGACCACAGGTGCAGCCCACGAGTCCGGGCCGAGTCCACAGATGCAGCCCACGAGTTCGGGCCGAGACCACAGGTGCAGCCCACGAGTCCGGGCCGAGACCACAGGTGCAGCCCACGAGTCCGGGCCGAGACCACAGGTGCAGCCCACGAGTCCGGGCCGAGTCCACAGATGCAGCCCACGAGTTCGGGCCGAGACCACAGGTGCAGCCCACGAGTCCGGGCCGAGACCATAGGTGCAGCCCACGAGTCCGGGCCGAGACCACAGGTGCAGCCCACGAGTCCGGGCCGAGTCCACAGATGCAGCCCACGAGTTCGGGCCGAGACCACAGGTGCAGCCCACGAGTCCGGGCCGAGTCCACAGGTGCAGCCCACGTGTCCGGGCCGAGACCACAGTCCACAGGTGCAGCCCACGAGTCCGGGCCGAGACCACAGTCCACAGGTGCAGCCCACGAGTCCGGGCCGAGACCACAGTCCACAGGTGCAGCCCACGAGTCCGGGTCGAGACCACAGTCCACAGGTGCAGCCCACGAGTCCGGGTCGAGACCACAGTCCACAGGTGCAGCCCACGAGTCCGGGCCGGGACCACAGTCCACTGGTACAGCCCACGAGTCCGGGCCGAGACCACAGTCCACAGGTGCAGCCCATGAGTCCGGGTCGAGACCACAGTCCACAGGTGCAGCCCACGAGTCCGGGCCGAGACCACAGTCCACAGGTGCAGCCCATGAGTCCGGGCCGAGACCACAGTCCACAGGTGCAGCCCACGAGTCCGGGCCGAGACCACAGTCCACAGGTGCAGCCCACGAGTCCGGGTCGAGACCACAGTCCACAGGTGCAGCCCACGAGTACGGGTCGAGACCACAGTCCACAGGTGCAGCCCACGAGTCCGGGCCGAGACCACAGTCCACAGGTGCAGCCCACGAGTCCGGGCCGAGACCACAGTCCACAGGTGCAGCCCACGAGTCCGGGTCGAGACCACAGTCCACAGGTGCAGCCCACGAGTCCGGGCCGAGACCACAGTCCACAGGTGCAGCCCACGAGTCCGGGCCGAGACCACAGTCCACAGGTGCAGCCCACGAGTCCGGGTCGAGACCGCAGTCCACAGGTGCAGCCCACGAGTCCGGGCCGAGTCCACAGGTGCAGCCCACGAGTCCGGGCCGAGACCACAGTCCACAGGTGCAGATGTCTTGCAGCTCAAAACCCTCAAAAAGGATCATGGACCCAACTTTCACACTTTTATACTGAGAATCAAAATCAAACTCTTCTGCTCCTTCTGCTCTCCTTGATCTCGCCTTCGGACACTGTCACTGTTCAACAGGTGTCCGACCCCAAACTCCAGGATTTTTCACACTCCGGTTATTTTTTTTTTTGTAATTTCACATCCCAGGAGTCAAAGGCCAGCCCTAAATGCACTGCAACAAAGGAAGAGATTTGGATTCAGTTTATTTGCCATTTGCAGTAAAACCACATTGGAATAACTGTGCAAGAGTTAGAGCTAGAGTCGTCCAGTGTGCACCAGACCGAGCAAATAGTTTACTCTAGAGCTCCTGCCACGGAGTCCATACACAACAATACACCAGACGTTCAGTAGGTGGTCTCAACATACAATACACCATTATTTCTATTGAAGTAGTATCAAAGAAAGTCCATGATGTTCCTGAAGACCATAGATCGATGCCAAGACCGGAGATAAAAAGCAAAAAAACGCCAAAACTTCAGAAAATCAATTATTCAGATTTTAACAACCAGCAAATACTTTGACTAAACAGAGCTCAGATTCAAATAAAAATCGGCTTTATGTGAATTAAATATAAATACTGGATTAATTAGTTATCAGGCAAAGCGTGATAAACTTCTTAAAGGTTATTGAACTTGTAGCTAACTAGTTTTTGTATTTTGTTATTGAAGACTCTTAAAACGGATTTGTTCTTCAGTTCTGCTTTGAAAGTGTGTCTTCAACAACCTTTCTCTTTTCTCTGTGGTAAAAATCCACTGTGGGTCTAGTCATTTCCTACATGTACGTCTGGTCTTACCATGTGTAAACTCTGGTCCATGGTCATTTCCTACATGTACGTCTGGTCTTACCATGTGTAAACTCTGGTCCATGATCATTTCCTACATGTACGTCTGGTCTTACCATGTGTAAACTCTGGTCCATGATCATTTCCTACATGTACGTCTGGTCTTACCATGTGTAAACTCTGGTCCATGATCATCTCCTACATGTTCGTCTGGTCTTACCATGTGTAAACTCTGGTCCATGGTCATTTCCTACATGTACGTCTGGTCTTACCATGTGTAAACTCTGGTCCATGATCATTTCCTACATGTACGTCTGGTCTTACCATGTGTAAACTCTGGTCCATGATCATTTCCTACATGTACGTCTGGTCTTACCATGTGTAAACTCTGGTCCATGATCATTTCCTACATGTACGTCTGGTCTTACCATGTGTAAACTCTGGTCCATGATCATCTCCTACATGTTCGTCTGGTCTTACCATGTGTAAACTCTGGTCCATGATCATTTCCTACATGTACGTCTGGTCTTACCATGTGTAAACTCTGGTCCATGGTCATTTCCTACATGTACCTCTGGTCTTACCATGTGTAAACTCTGGTCCATGGTCATCTCCTACATGTACGTCTGGGTCTGATCCTAGTGGCTGCAGTTTCCTCGGTTGAATCCTCTCCGACCAATCAGAGAGCGGGGGAGGCGGGTGTTGTAGGTTGGTGTCGGTGACGTCAAGAGTTTGTGCTGAATTTGCTGGTTGTAGTTTGTCGGAGAATGTGATAGTAAAATAATCTGTTCTGGTTCAATCCAAATATCAAGAAACTGAAGCCGGAGCAAGAGGAATGTTTAGTAAATGTCACTGAAGCAAAGATGTTGTGGCTCTACTCCCCACGGGCTCCGTTAATGGCAAAGGAGATGCTAAAGCTAGGCTACATGCTAAAGCTAGGCTAAATGCTAAATTCCTCACTCACTCAGTATCATTACATACGTCACAGTAAATTCAGATCCAATCGTTTCAATCTGCAAAAGGAGTTAGCCCCTCCCACCTGTTCACGGAGTCAATGGAGCTAATCCAGACCTTTGTACATTATGAAACGAGTACGATGGTGCGGTAAGACCAGGCTACTGCAGGTCCAAACAACACGCCAACCTTTCCCATCGTTTTATTGGATCGACGCAGCTTTTACACAGGTCAAAAACACGGTTAAAGGACGCAGTGTAAAAAACAAATGGACAAATGTGCAGACTGTAGGAGCAGTGTTGTTATTAATGTTAGAGACCCTTTGTTCGTCTCACAGTGGGGAAATTCCAATGTTGCAGCGCACAGACAGGACAGAAGTAAGAGACACAGGGAGGACACAGAGCACACACAATAAGCAGCTAGCTCTTTCTTAGCTCTCTGTTAACTCTCCGTTCAATTGTAAGCTGTGAGTTTGGCTCCGGAGGGCACCGTGCCAGCCCCAGATGTGAGCTGACAGGCACCAGCGGTCTGCAGGTCTGAGGGGGGAGAGGGGGTGAGGGGGGGTGGGAGAGGGTGGGGGGGTTGGGGCTGTGGATGTGCCTCAGACTGACACTGTCACAACACACGCCGCACACATGACTGACAGCCAGCACACTTAATATCCTCCATTTTAGGACATGCATCTCCCGAAATATCAGCCTATATCTGCGAACGCATGTAATGTATGCAAATGTGTGATAAACTTTGTCAGTCATACACACCTTCTCCATAACGCGCCTTGACGGACATTAATTACCGTATAAAATAAGCAATTGGCACTCGGGCCCAGATGTCCGCTTGCGAGCAGAGCTGTGATCGGGACATGTGTGTCTACGTGCACATGTGTGTGTCTACGTGCACATATGTGTCTACGTGCACATGTGTGTGTCTATGTGCACATGTGTGTCTACGTGCACATGTGTGTCTACGTGCACATGTGTGTCTGCGTGCACATGTGTGTCTACGTTCACATGTGTGTGTCTACGGGCACATGTGTGTCTACGTTCACATGTGTGTGTCTACGTGCACATGTGTGTCTACGTGCACATGTGTGTCTACGTGCACATGTGTGTCTACGTGCACATGTGTGTGTCTACGTGCACATGTGTGTGTCTACGTGCACATGTGTGTCTACGTGCACATGTGTGTGTCTACGTGCACATGTGTGTCTACGTGCACATGTGTGTCTACGTACGTGCACATGTGTGTCTACATGCACATGTGTGTCTACGTGCACATGTGTGTCTACGTGCACATGTGTGTGTCTACGTGCACATGTGTGTCTACGTGCACATGTGTGTCTACGTGCACATGTGTGTCTACGTGCACATGTGTGTCTACGTGCACATGTGTGTCTACGTGCACATGTGTGTCTACGTGCACATGTGTGTGTCTACGTGCACATGTGTGTCTGCGTGCAGATGTGTGTCTATGTGCACATGTGTGTCTGCGTGCACATGTGTGTCTACGTGCACATGTGTGTGTCTACGTGCACATGTGTGTGTCTACGTGCACATGTGTGTCTACGTGCACATGTGTGTGTCTACGTGCACATGTGTGTGTCTACGTGCACATGTGTGTGTCTACGTGCACATATGTGTCTACGTGCAGATGTGTGTCTATGTGCACATGTGTGTCTGCGTGCACATGTGTGTCTACGTGCACATGTGTGTGTCTACGTGCACATGTGTGTGTCTACGTGCACATGTGTGTCTACGTGCACATGTGTGTGTCTACGTGCACATGTGTGTCTACGTGCACATGTGTGTGTCTACGTGCACATGTGTGTCTACGTGCACATGTGTGTCTACGTGCACATGTGTGTCTGCGTGCACATGTGTGTGTCTACGTGCACATGTGTGTCTACGTGCACATGTGTGTCTACGTGCGCATGTGTGTCTACGTGCACATGTGTGTCTACGTGCGCATGTGTGTCTGCGTGCACATGTGTGTCTACGTGCACATGTGTGTCTACGTGCACATGTGTGTCTACGTGCACATGTGTGTCTACGTGCACATGTGTGTCTACGTGCACATGTGTGTGTCTACGTGCACATGTGTGTCTACGTGCACATGTGTGTGTCTACGTGCACATGTGTGTCTACGTGCACATGTGTGTCTACGTGCACATGTGTGTCTACGTGCACATGTGTGTCTACGTGCACATGTGTGTCTACGTGCACATGTGTGTCTACGTGCACATGTGTGTGTCTACGTGCACATGTGTGTCTACGTGCACATATGCGTCTACGTGCACATGTGTGTCTACGTGCACATGTTTGCTCTGCCAGAACAGGATCACGGAGGAGCGGCCCTCAGCTCCAGCAGAACTAATGAAAGTCGACAAAATGTCTGCGCTGCCATCTTTATCTCCCATCCTCCCCCCGCCCTGTGCCCTCCCCCCGGTGCCGAAGGAGCGTGACAGCAGAAAATGGTGGCTAAATGTGGCTTCCATGCGGCGGCGGCGTCTGAGGAGGTGACAGCAGCTGAGGCTTCCATCTCTGAGTCCAAATCCAGCTCAAACACATCCTCCTCTAGTCCTTACTGTTCGTTTGAGTTCATTCAAGTTTTATTTTATTTTATTTTATTTTAGTAAAGAGTTATTGTTCTTTTGTCTTGTGCTGTGTTCTCCTCATTCCTACTGTTCTGTAACGATGCAACACTGACAATTCCCCTCTGTGGGACCGAGGAAGGATCTCGTCATCTATATCTCGGTTCCATTAAAATCATGGTTTATGTGTGTGTGAGTGTGTGTGTGTGTGTGTGTGAGTGTGTGTGTGTGTGAGTGTGTGTTTGTGTGTGTATGTGCACTTGTGTGTGTGTGTCTGCGTGTGTGTTATCTGTGTACTGTGTGTCTGATGCACTGTGTTGTTCAGCGGTGAGATAAAAAGTGTGCAATATTCGCTGTTGAAACGTGTTGTGAAGATTCAGTTCATTTGCAGTAAAACCACAGTAGAATAACTGCACAAGAGTCAAACCCCAGTGTGCCCAAGGGCAGACAGAACAGACTGTGGTCCACAGTGATGAGCTTTAATGTCAGCTTCGACTTGTTTTATTTGTTTACAGTTGTCGTCTTGTGGCTCTGACAAACCAGGAGCAGGTCTGGGGTCTGCAGAGCTCGGAGTAGAGCCGCTGCTGTCCTCAGACATTGTCCTTCTCGTTGATGTTGTGACTCTGACAAAAGCAGTAGGCTTAAAAGTGTTTGGTCACTATTAAAATTCTATCAAAATGTATTGGATTAAATGGTTATTTCAAGCCTTCTGAAAAGAGACTAAGGTAAAGTCTCGTCTCCATGGAGACATGAGTCCTCTGCATCTGCACCAGGAACAGCGGACCGAGGCCTATCCTCAGATCTGGGTCAGGATCAGGAGAAAACCTGAGCACCTGGAGGAAACCTAGGCAGACACGAGGTGAAGCCAGAGTGCTAACCACTGTGCTGCTTAGACTCTTCTAAAAGATTTCTCAGCAACCTCTGGTCACTGATGCTCACTTCAGTAACCAGAGGTCTAAAAGAACCAGTGAGGACCAGTGACATGGTCTATAAGGACCAGTAACCAGAGTTCGAGAACCCTCAGGGACATAACCAGTGTCTGCTGAAGTTTGTAACTTTAAGACTTCAGGCTGTAGTTGTCTTAAACTAAGTATTAAAAAGTAATAATTGTAGAAGTTTGAACCAATTCATTTCAAGAGGCCAAATACTTTTGGAACCTCGAATAGAAAACCTTCATAATCCCTTCACTGCGGCAGACTCAACATCCTGATTTCATCTTTATTGGAATAAATATGTTATATTCTTAGATGTTTGATAGAAAGTGTGTGGGTCACTATTTGACTCTTTGGGCTCAGAGCTGATTGGCTGAAAGAGGCTGGTCCTCTCTTTGATCTTAACACGTGACACAGGCCAAAACACATCAGGTGAAAACTGGAGATAGAACCAACCTTTAGAAAATCACATAATTACAACATTTTATAAAATGCCTCAAATCACAAAGTTGTCAATTAGCCAACACAGATCAGAGAATCAAACACAGATCAGAGAATCAAACAAAAGAAATGCACTGATAAAAAACACACAGAGCCATTGGTCCATAAAGAGCAGAGACCAGAGTCTGTAAATGTGGAGAGTCCTGGATCCTCTCTGTCCTTAGACCTCCTGCATCAGAGGAACTGGTCTAAAAACCCAGTGGTGTTCATTGTACGTAATAAAAACTACAACAAATGTGTCAATGCCCCAAATATCTGCAAACAAAGATAATATCTGTGAACCACCCGTGAGTCCCTGGGATCAAACCCATGTCCTGCTGCGCGTCCTCAGCCTCTGACGTCGCTCTGGGGAAAACTCACTCTTCATTAATGGAAATGATGTATCAATACGTCCGGCCCCATTCACACGTGTCAGATGGCCCCCCGGAACAATGGGCCCCGCAACTTATGAACTCCACTCCGCCAGTCCATAAAAGCCTCCCCCCTCGCCCTCCCCCTCCTCCCCCCTCGCCCTCTCCCCCAGACCACCAGATGACACAGATGGGGATGAGTGCAAACAAAAGCCGAACCTCCTTTGTACACACGGCGCCCTTTCCAAAGCCGTTCATGCGACAAATTGGCTAAATCTGGTCGACGAGATGCCCTCCGCGTGCTCTTTTTTTTTTCTCCGGGTTTAACGTCGGAGTAAGTGAAATCAGATTTATGTCCGGGCCGTGCGAGGCGGAGGCCGGCGAGGGGATAGGAGCAGCCCAAATATTTTTATAGACTGGCTAACGCAAAGCAGAAGTTGTTTTGAAGTTGACGGTCACTTGCGCAGAAAGTAGCAGCTCGTTTGGTTAGCGAGGTCGCGCCGTGATCAGAGAAGAACAGATGTTTATGACTCAATTCAATTCAACTCACAACTGTAGTCATCTCGAAGGACTTTACAATATTGTCGAACTCCCCAAGATCAGAGAATCTAAACAGTGCAAACACAGGAGATAGATTCATGATTAATTTCATTTTAGATTAGATTCTTGCCACAAAATGCAGTTTAGCCGCAAACCAGTGCAAAGTATAGGATCATATTTAAACACAGATTTGTATATTTGTGAGACTGCACAAGCTGCTATTGCTTGTATATATACATTAATTACAGCTTAGTTCGTTACTGCCTTTTATGCGAGTCGTAAACAGTGGTCAGCTGCAGCACTCGAGCAGCGGAAAACTCTTTCACCGTCGAGCAAAAGGCCTCAGACTGTTCATCGTTCAGAGACATCACAGTGAAATCGTGGCCTGTGCAAACGCAGAAGGCTCTGGAATATACTGCTTTGTGATCCTGTTCTGTGAAATAATAATAATAATAATAATAATGTCAGTAATGAAGCAGACAGAGACGGATCGTGGTGCACCAAGCTCTGGAAGTTTATTAGGTTTTTGTCAAGTTCCAGTGGTTTCTGTTGTTTCTTTCCTCCTCCCAGACAAAATGGAGTCAGTTCATCATGGATAGATAATAATAATAATAATAATAATAATACATCAAACCTGTATAGCGCTTTTTGGGACACTCAAAGACGCTTCACATGGGGAAAAAAACACAATAAAATTACGGAAAAGCTTGTTTGAGAAGATGGGTTTTGAGACTGATTTGAGACTTACTTTTTGTAATGGTTATCAGGACCAATGATTCTAGATTGACATGTAGCACTTTGAACACAGTATTTCATCTTTCTGCAGCTACTTCCTGTTTTTCATGACGACGCCCATGTAAAGGACAGACCCTCACACATCAGTCTAACACATATATACAGTGTATCTGGTTCTGGAGGTCGCTCTTGCAGGACCAGAGGAGACAGATACTTCCAGACTGTTCCTCCCAGACTTTGGAACGATCTTTCTCTCTCTACACTTGATTGCGTCCTCAGAGCTAAAACGCTGTGGATCTGGTCAGTGAGCGGCGTGTATTGATAAAGTTTACTTACATACTAAAAAGAATCAACCAACAAAGCGCTTCACAACCCACATCATATCCAGCAAATCGTAAACATTAAAATCTGCATATACATGAAAAACACAAGAAATATTAAAAACAGAATAAAATCACAAGTTATTAAATACCTTAAATCATTAAGTAGATGCCAGCCTCACATCTTCCGGAAGATTGTTCCAGATTTTAGCTGCATAAATCGGGAACGCTGCCTCCCCATGTCTAGTTCTGACTCTGGGACCAGCAGGAGGCCGGTCCCTGTGCTCCTCAGAGTCTCAGAAGAGGCCGGTCCCTGTGCTCCTCAGAGTCTCAGAAGAGGCCGGTCCCTGTGCTCCTCAGAGTCTCAGCAAGAGGCCTGTCCCTGTGCTCCTCAGAGTCTCAGCAAGAGGCCTGTCCCTGTGCTCCTCAGAGTCTCAGCAGGAGGCCGGTCCCTGTGCTCTTCAGAGTCTCAGCAGGAGGCCAGTCCCTGTGCTCCTCAGAGTCTCAGCAGGAGGCCGGTCCCTGTGCTCTTCAGAGTCTCAGCAAGAGGCCTGTCCCTGTGCTCCTCAGAGTCTCAGCAAGAGGCCTGTCCCTGTGCTCCTCAGAGTCTCAGCAAGAGGCCTGTCCCTGTGCTCCTCAGAGTCTCAGCAAGAGGCCGGTCCCTGTGCTCCTCAGAGTCTCAGCAAGAGGCCTGTCCCTGTGCTCCTCAGAGTCTCAGCAAGAGGCCTGTCCCTGTGCTCCTCAGAGTCTCAGCAGGAGGCCGGTCCCTGTGCTCTTCAGAGTCTCAGCAAGAGGCCTGTCCCTGTGCTCCTCAGAGTCTCAGCAGGAGGCCGGTCCCTGTGCTCCTCAGAGTCTCAGCAAGAGGCCTGTCCCTGTGCTCCTCAGAGTCTCAGCAGGAGGCCTGTCCCTGTGCTCCTCAGAGTCTCAGCAGGAGGCCGGTCCCTGTGCTCTTCAGAGTCTCAGCAAGAGGCCGGTCCCTGTGCTCCTCAGAGTCCGAGTTGGTTCATATGGTACTAACATGTCGAGGCCATAGAGAGACTATTCTTCATTTAAACGACTAAGTCATTAGTTATACACATTATATTGATAAAGCTGGTTGGTGTTTTGGAAAAGGGAGCTCTCAGGAAGCTGCATTAGCTCAGAGGCGACAACAAGGTCCCAGTCTGATTTACAGCGTCTATCTTTATCCTCTTCAGTTCAAGGGTTTTTCCACATTTCAAATCCAAATCAAAGCAGCTCAACGACAGAGCAGAGTCGCAGCTGCCTCCAACATGACAATAAAGCCTCTCTGCTCCAAACCCTGCGCCTCCAAGTTCATTAAACGTGCCGTTGCTCCACAGACACCTCTGCTGCTCCTCTATCTGCATACAGACACATTTGTCATCATTAGCTTAGCCGTGACACGTCCCCGCACCCGCCATTATCAACCCTTCACTCCATATTTGGGCGACGGAGGATAATTGTGCGGCGGAGGGCTTGGGTGAGAGTCATTCTGGACCAGGACGTGAGCTCGGCCTCTGCGTGGGACGGCTTCTGGTCCGGGGGGGACAGGGGCACGGGGACTAGTTTGTGCGGCGGAGGGAGAGGCAGCCTGGGCGGTCACATGGGGGGTCACATGGGCGGTCACATGGGCTGTCCTGGAGCAGAGGGGTCAGTGGGCAGATGATGACGACGCCCACCGGACTTCAGCTGGTGGACACGCCTGGATATTGAGATTAATTGCAAAGCTGGTTCTCTTTGGGAAACGACGCAAAGATTCCGGCTTTGGTCTGAAGTCACTAAAAGGACAGTTTTACAATCAAAGCTTTTAACCATGCTGCAACTGTGTTCACTCAGAACAACAATAATAATAATAGTAATAATACATTGGTTTTATATAGTGCTTCAAGAACTCAAAGACGCTTCACAGTTCAGGACACACACATTCAGATGGACACAAAACGCAGAAGCTAAGAGTTTTTTACTGTTTAGGGAGTTACAGTGAGTGTGAGTTTCTGAGGTGAGGGGAGAGAGAGTTCCAGAGAGTGGGAGCAGAGATGGAGAATGCTCGGTCCCCCAGGTCTGTCGACGGGAGAACAGACCTGCAGTTCATATGAATAATAATAATAATAATAATAATGCATCAGTCTTGTATAGTGCTTGTTTAGACGCTTCACATGTCATTATTCATTCACTTCAGACACAGTGATAACAAACTGTAGCCGCAGCTGCCCTGGGGCACACTGACAGAAGCGAGGCAACCAGTTTGTGCCACCAGGCCCTCCCACCACCACCAACCCTTCACACACACACCAGACTCATTCTAATGTGGGGGAAGTGTCTTGCCTAAGGACACAACCCCATTTTTGCACTTCACAGCCGCAGCCGCCCCACTGTGGCAAGGGTCTCCCATCACAGTACTGACCAGGCCCTGTCCTGCTTAGCATCAGAGGTCAGACAGGATCTGGCTTTCACCTGCGAGTATGGAGGATTTTCTACTTCCGGGTGAATCATCAAGAGTATTGGTCCTCCCAACTGTCAATCATTCTGGTGATATGAGCTCGTCAAGTTAAACCAGAGTTTTGTTCAAAAAGTCTCCTAAAATTTAGGAAAATCCACTTATTTACGTTTAATTTTTGTGCAGATTATCCAATCAGAGAGCAGAATGAAAAATCATGTAGAAAAGATAAAAATGACACAAATAATTCCTGATACTTTGGTGTTTAAAGCTTTAAAACATGTTTGTGTCTTAAATAACACATGTTTGTAAAAGTCAGATCAGAGCACAACATTAAACCACTTCTTTTTAGAAAACACAGATGTTCTGCAGACGTGTGGGACAGAGCCCTGGGAGGCACTTTCTGACTCTTTGGGCTGAGAGCTGATTGGCCGAGAGAGTTAATTATACAAAAACAGCTAAAACAATATATCTGTACAAAGGTGCAACTATTTTGATTTAAACACACACGGCCTCGCACTAATACACACACACAGCCTCATACACACACACACACACACACACACAGCCTCATACACGCACACAACACACACACACACATACACACAGCCTCATACACACACACACACACACACACACATACACACAGCCTCATACACACACACACACACACACACACACACATACATACAGCCTCATACACACTCAACACACACACATACATACATACAGCCTCATACACACACACACACACACACAGCCTCATACACACACATACACACAGCCTCATACACACACAACACACATACACACAGCCTCATACACACATACACACACACATACATACAGCCTCATACACACTCAACACACACACATACATACATACAGCCTCATACACACACACACACACACACAGCCTCATACACACACATACACACAGCCTCATACACACACAACACACATACACACAGCCTCATACACACATACACACACACATACATACATACAGCCTCATACACACACACACACACACACATACACACAGCCTCATACACACACACACACACACAGCCTCATACACACACAACACACCTCTGAACATACACACACAACACAAACACAGAACCTCACTCTCACACACAAATCAACACACACTTAAACACACACAACACACCTCTGAACACACACACACACACACACACACACACATATAATACAGCCTCATACAATCCCATGTACACACACACACAGAGCCTTACCCTAATACACAACTCACACATAAACACACACAGAGCCTCACACACACGCACACACACATACTGTACATACAGCCTCATACTAACCCACGTACACACAACACGCACACACAGGGCCTCACACACACACACACACACACACAGCCTCACAAACACACACACACACACACACAGCCTCACACACACACACACACAGCCTCACACACACACACACACAGCCTCACAAACACACACACACACACACACACAGCCTCACACACACACACACACACACACACACACACACACACACACTCCAGCTCATTGATCTAATAAAGCGCGGTGCCCCCTGTGGTGAGGAGGACCTCCTTCTGACTCGCGGCTGCCATTAAACAGCTGAAAATTACCCAAACGAATGGACAGAGGCAGGCGGGGGCCCGCACACACCCGGCCCCCAGCGGAGACGCCATATTGCCTGGAATAATAAAGGCCCGTTATTAAAAATCCCAATGACAATTTCATTTTGTGGCAAATAAAACGATAGCTGCTGGATCCCCCGGAGGTTTGCTTTATGAGGCTGTCGTTGTCACATCGCTCAAGTGTCACCGCAGTAATCCCATTCCCGGTGTCAGCGGCTAATCCCAACCATTAGCTTACATGCTACGGCTAAAGTCTGTAAACCAGGGAGGCCAGAGCACCGCGCCTTTTGTTACTCACAGATATCGGAATTTAAGCAGCGGCGCGACTGTAAGAGACGGATCAAAGCTGCAGAAAGAACAAAAACAGGTCATTGATCGATTCATCAATAAAGATTTATCTGTAGAAAGCTTTTCCTTCACAGCCCAGAAACATCATAACAAATCACACGTTAGAATCATGACCACAGGGCATTAGAAAGAATAGACCTAATATCCCTCAGTCGCTGCAACCAAACACAACTGTTTTTATTGACATTGTCAGAGAAGAAGCCTGTCTCACATTTTCAGGAAGACTTTTCCAGGTTTTAGCAGGAATCTGAAATGCAGCCCCTTCATGTTTGGTCCTGACTCTGGGACTAGCATAAGGCCAGTCCCTGTGCTCCTCAGAGTCCCAGCAGGAGACCAGTCCCTGTGCTCCTCAGAGTCTCAGCAGGAGACCAGTCCCTGTGCTCCTCAGAGTCCCAGCAGGAGACCAGTCCCTGTGCTCCTCAGAGTTCATATGGCACTAACATGTCACAGATCCAGTATATGTTGAACCTGATGAGTGTATTTTAACACAATTGAAAATGTTTGGATAAAACAATTTAATGAGACGTTGAAATGTGAAACATTCTGCTGATTAATGAACGTTTGACACGGTCGGTTTAAATGCACATGTGTGAAAATCATTTATAACTAATACTTTTAAAATTCATGAAAGTCCAAAGTCCGGCCCACAGGCCCTAAACATGCCTGAATATGGCCAACAAGAGCAAAGAACAGAATTAATCATTTCTCACTCACTGTTTCCGTTGGATCTTCTTCTTTTATGTCTTTGATTCTCTTCTCACATTAATGAACCGATTTGAAAAACTTGTATTTTACAAACTCAAGAATAACTTTGTTCATGGAAACATCAGTGTTTTCAGCGAGGACAGAAGAAAGATGTTCTGTCGACGACATTTACATTTATGGAACGACTGCTCAAAAGATTAAAACTAAAGTGGTTCTGATGAAGTCATGATCGTTTCAGCTGAAGCTGAAGAGAAACAGTTAAAGACTTTGGAAAAGTCCAAATGATTCTCATGAATCTGACACTAATGGAATTTCCTCAACGTCAAAATCAATCAAACGTTTATCCATTTTAATCTAATCTCTGAGACTGATGTTTCTGCGACAAATGTGAGGATTTATTTAAGTCTTTAAGAACTGAAGCCGTTTCCATCGAAGCAGTTTCTCTAAAATCCACTGAAACAAGAACATTTTCATCAGGATTTTCTCTTTAACTCAAATGTTCAGCAGCGGAACTTTCCCAAAGGGAAGAGTCTCCTGCATTTGACCCATCATGCACTGGGGCCTCAGACAGGAGCAGTGGGGACCATCATGCACTGGGGCCTCAGACAGGAGCAGTGGGGACCATCATGCACTGGGGCCTCAGACAGGAGCAGTGGGGACCATCATGCACTGAGGCCTCAGACAGGAGCAGTGGGGACCATCATGCACTGGGGCCTCAGACAGGAGCAGTGGGGACCATCATGCACTGGGGCCTCAGACAGGAGCAGTGGGGACCATCATGCACTGGGGCCTCTGACAGGAGCACATAGAAGTGCACATGGTCTGGCTTTAATGCCACTTGCCGTGCGTGTGAGTAATGTGTGTGTGTGTAATGTGTGTGCGTGTGTAGTGTGTTTGTGTGTGTAGTGTGCGCGTGTAGTAGTGTGCGTGTGTAGTAGTGTGTGCGTGTGTAGTAGTGTGCGAGTGTAGTAGTGTGTGCGTGTGTAGTAGTGTGCGTGTGTAGTAGTGTGCGTGTTTAGTAGTGTGTGCGTGTGTAGCAGTGTGCGTGTTTAGTAGTGTGTGCGTGTGTAGTAGTGTGTGCGTGTGTAGTAGTGTGTGCGTGTGTAGTAGTGTGCGTGTTTAGTAGTGTGTGCGTGGGTAGTAGTGTGTGCGTGGGTAGTAGTGTGTGCGTGGGTAGTAGTGTGTGCGTGTGTAGTAGTGTGCGTGTGTAGTAGTGTGCATATGTTGTTGTGTTCCCTCCAACAATACGCACAGTGTCGTTCAAATGTGTAGTGCATATGTAGCGTGTGTGTGTTGTGTAGTGTGTGTGTAGCTTGTGTATGTAGTGTGTGTGTGTGTAGCGTGCATGTGTAGTGTGTGTGTGTAGTAGTGTGTGTGTGTGTATATAGTAGTGTGTGTAGTGTGTATGTGTGTATATAGTAGTGTGTGTAGTGTGTGTGTGTGTATATAGTAGTGTGCGTAGTGTGTATGTGTGTATATAGTAGTGTGTGTAGTGTGTGTGTGTGTATATAGTAGTGTGCGT